TTCCACACAAAAAGCTATAAACGAAAATAAACAAATAAATAAATACCATTCCAAATCAAATTACTGTCGAAAGGAACAATGAATCTTGTAAAATAGCTACTCACTTTGTTGTCATTTCCACCGGATGCTAACTCTCGGTTGTCGTACGACCACTTCAATCCACAAACCTTAAATCACACAAGTAATTGAGATTCAGACAAAAATAAATAAAAATAATAATGGTTAATTTGTGTCATTGAAGGGGCATGCATACCTCTGATTTGTGTCCAGTCAATTTGCTGACATAATCATCTGGAGTTCGTAAATCTCGTTGAAGAATAGTTTTGTCCCGGCTTCCGGAAGATAATAAAGACGAACTCCATGCGAGGGAACCAACTCTCAGCCTATGTCCCTCCAAAGTTTTAACTCTCTTGCATCGAGCGGCATCCCATAACTGCATTGTGATATACAAGATTCATAAATTTCAGATTCAAGAATTACTACAAACTGAGCTCAGAGCATCGTGTTTTTCATTTTAGTATGTTTGACTAGGCATGAAATCTTTAGCAGAAACTTAAATAGAAGATCCCATTAAGATACCCCGACAAATTGAAACACAAGAATATAAAAATCTCAAAATTCTCATAGACCAGTATTTTTTGCAAAGAAAAGCTCCACTAGCCATAAAAAAATGAAAATTCATTAACACGTGTCATTCATTGGAGTCGGGGTAACGTAATAAAATTTCGACACAGGTGCCATTAATGAATACGGTGCTCCCTAGCTCAAAAAAGAACACGTGAATTAAATATAGAGTTGGGCATGCCACAAAGTCGTATATTAAATATAGAGTCTAGTCAAACATGGAATTATTAACACTTAAAGGTCAATAAGAGAAGACGAAAAATAATTAACAACATACTTGGACTTTGCCGTTGCTAGTTCCGACAGCCAGATTCGTACCGTGTTGTGCCCAGCCAACAGAGCAGACACTGTCATCGAATCCTAAATCGCACAATTTCACCACCTGCATTAAACATGCATTTCATCATTTTCCGATTGGCAATGGTAATGAAAAAAGAAAAAAGAAAAGATTGAAAAGAATGTCGAAATTAACCTTGCTGCTCGAAGCATGCCACAGATATACACATGTGCCGAGCCCCACTGCCAGCACGTTATTCGGAGACCAGTCCACGAGGTTTAGATAAAAGTCATCTTGCAATGCCGGTGCATCCAAAACCTATGCCAAATGTAAAATTAGTTTGAATAGTTCAAAACACAAGAAAACATTCGATTTTCGCATAAAGTTTCCCTTAAAAAAAATCGGGAAAAAGAATTAATTGATGATAGCCAGAATCTCGAATCGACATCCATAACCAAACCTGGAAATTAAAACATAACAGCAACAAACAAGAACATCAAGTCTGCAACATAAAACTGGCGAAACGAATAATCGCAGCACCGTACAGAATAAACGACGATTAATTCAGGATAACCCAATATATACATCTTACAAAAAATTAAATATATAAAATAAAAATAACAATCACTAACTAAGAAACCCCAAACCAATTCAGCTACAATTAATAAATTCACAAAGGCCAATGCAGAGAATTCAAAGCAACATAATTTAGAAAAATAAAAAAAGAATTTATAAACCCTCAATCATGAGAGAGAGAGAGAGAGAGAGAGAGAGAGAGAGAGAGAGAGAGAGAGAGAGAGAGAGAGAGAGAGAGAGAGAGAGAGAGAGATAAACCTTGTAAGGAGACCTTGGAATTTTTCTGGGAGCTTTAACAGGGCTGTGGGATACGCCGGGGAGTGGATCATCATACCCAAACGGCGAAAGAGAATGCAAAGATTTCCTTGTTTCAGTCTTGTACTTGAATATATTGCAATTAGGAGGACTAATCAGCAAATTACTACCATCGCTATTCCGAGTGCCGAATCTCCCGCCGGAGGAGGACTTCTCCGGAGTCAACGGCTGAAACCCATTACCACCACCGACACATTCGGGTCCGAAAAGGGCGGACTTTAAGAGATTAGTGTAGGCGGAATGCGAATCGTCGGTAGATGCGCCGGGATTGGAATTGGGCAGATTGAAGAGGGCAAAATTGGAGGAGGATCTGCTCGGGATGAATCGATCGCTGTAGATTGTGCGGGAGGAAGAGGGGCGGCGGTAGGATGAGCTGAGAAGCTTCGACACCGGCGTCGCCGGGTCTGTGGACGATGCGCTCGTGCTAGGGGTGGGGGTTTCCATGGAGGAATTTTTTCTCCGATTATCGCCGTTCGGCGGC